GTTTTCTATATCTTATATACTATTTATAAAATAGAATCCTTCTTTAATTCAAATATTATTGTTTTAAATTACTTATTAAGCTATTTTAGATTTTGAGTGGACTGATGAAAGTTGTAGTTTATAGTGATGTTATTTATTCATTTTTTTTTTTTTTATTGTATTTATCATTACTTTTTGGAGTAGAACAAATAATTAAATTTTCAATTTTAGTTTCTGATAATTAAATCTAGTTGGTACTTTTTAGGTGTATAAAAGGTAAAAATTCTAGTAACATTTTTCAAAAATAACTAATCAGAAAGAATTAAAATATTAACGAAATTCCAGTTTTTGGCATTTTTTTTTTTTTTTTATGGTGATTCAAAAATAAATAAATAACGTACAAAGATACTTTAGTTTTTCACTAAACATTTATACTAGTACTATTCAGACATGGTATAATTTACAAGATATTTTGTGGTATAAAATAACGTATGAATTTATCAAGTTTTTAGTGTTTTTTAATTTATGTTAAATGTTTGTAACTAAAAAAGTTTGGAAATGTAGCAAAAAACTCCTCATAAGTTGTTATTATACTGTAATCAAAATTACCTTCTCCGCTCAGAATCGTTTTTTCATAAGTACATTTATCATTGAATTCAAATTTAACATATTATCCATTAGTGATTTAATCATTAGGTAGATAATTTATAGAACTAGGTTAACAACAGTCAATAATAATAATAATAGGTAATAATGCAATAGTGTACCATTATTGTCTCAAAATTATGGTCGAAAGTTACTGTGGTACCATGGTGATAAGAATTAAGAATGTTAGCAACACAATTATACAACCAATTTGCTACAATAATGTGAAATATACGAATAAAACAATTTAAGTAGGTAGTTAGATGCAATATTGTAAAAAAATAGATTAAATAATAGAATTATTATAATTCAAAGTCTGTATGTTTGTACACAAACCGACAGTGTTTATATAAGAAGAAGTAGGTAGGTATTTAAATATCTATATATTATTGTAATCGAAGGTATGACAATTCTAAATACTATAAGGTACTCGTTAATCTAATCTACTAGGACAATTAAAAAACAACGTACACTCATCATAAACGCGTATTTTTAGTAGTTTTATAAGCTATATAGATGGGCAATAAACAATTTGTTGCCTAATTTTATTATTGTTCGTAATGTATTTCGACTAATTTATATTTTAATAAATAGTAGCTGATATATAACCTTGAAAATCAAAACATCAATATTTATAAGATTAAAAATGTTATTGAAATTAAAATAATATAAAAAATAACTAATAACATGGTCTATAGACGTGCTTTTGCGTAAATATAATATAGATATGTATTGTTATTTATCTATCAGTTATTTGTAAGTGTACTATTAATATTGAATATCTAATGCAATTTGAAATATTAATAATCAATTTTTTTTTAAATAATATACCTACTTAATTATATTTGTAGAGTTTAAAATTTTTTAATTCAGTCAATTATATTTATTTTATTTTTAGTATTTATAATTTATACAACTTAAAATTATCAAAAATATTCTGTTTTCTAGAATTACCTAGTTAAAAATATTATTTTTTAGAACAAAATACATTTTATAAAAAGCACGTATTGGCCATTTTTTCTTATCAATGTTCAATTTCATGTATTTATGTACATTTATATTCTATATTATGTGCATATCTACTTATGAACCAATTAAAGAATTAGGTAACTTATAATACGTTGTGTAGGTACCTACCTAATCTAAATGCACCTATATACAAGGCCTTAAAATATTATTTACCTTCTCCTTTACTTGAATTTATTCAATAAATATTACTGGACATTTTTAATTAATAATAATTTTTTTTTTCAGGAGGACACATTAATCCTGCATTAACCTCTGCCATGCTGATCACAAGAAGGATAAGCCCCGTAAGAGCTGTTATGTTCATAGCCGCACAATGTGGCGGCGCAGTAGGAGGCGCTGCAATAATCTACAGGTAAATAATATTTGTCCCGCCGTATCATATTATGTATGCTCTATGATATCAAATAGATCGTTATGTATTCATTATTATATTTGTGCTCTCTGTATCACGTACATAATATCAAATTCTCTATATCATGGTACTATCGGTTTCCAGTGTTTCCGCTCGAAACTACTTCACCAGTCTGTACGATCTACCAAACAGCAGCACGACCCCGTGGCAACGTTTCAGCTTAGGCTTGCTACTCATGTTCTTCATCGTGTTCACGTATTACGTGACTAATAATACGTTTCACAAATGGACCGGAACTTCGGCAACGGCAATAGGAGCAGTATACTTTGCGTGCGGTTTAGTGGCAGTAAGAACAAATCCAATAATCCCTTATAAACAAACTACGAGTAATTTTTTGCAGATGCCTTTTATTAATCCAGCCTGCGCGTTTGGACCGGCACTTGTGATGAATCATTGGGATAATCACTGGGTAAGTTGAATCAATTTTATTATTGTTAATAATGATATGTTTTTTTATCAAAATATTTTTTTTTTCAATCAAGTAAACCAGTAAAAGTAAGTATTCTACTTGTCTTATGTATAATACTGATACACTGGCTTAGGATTATTTTTGACAAGGAAAGAGGATGTGAACCAGGGGTGAAATTCTAATAGCCGGGGTGAATATTTTAGAATTAAATAAATACAATTATTTACTTCTACGAAATATATTTATGGTGTGAAGTTAAAATATAAATGTAAAAGTGTAAGTTCTATCACGTCATACTTACGAATATGAAATGTAATAAGTATATATATAGTTAGTAGTACACACACACACAAACTCATTCACATACTCGCGGTAATTGTATATTAGTTTCGAAGTTATAGCTTTTTGAAGTTTGCTAATATACCTTACATTACCTACTATTTATTATGCGCGTTAAGTACCGCCACATCACGTAACATTGTGCGGAAGTGTGTAGTATTGAATGCTGATTTTTGGCTTTGCTGATTAAAGTATTACTCTGATAAGTGAAAACAGTATCAACTTTTTAATTCCCAAATAACTTTTAAATCTATATTGTTCATCTAATGATTAATAATAAATATAGAAAAAAGTATAAATATTTTTTAGTTAATACTTTTAATATTCTCATATTAGACCATTAAAATATAGAGAAATAAAAATAAAATAACTTTGTATAGGTACTTACATAGAATAAACTAAGGACGATATATGACAGAGGCTGGAGGGGGAAGTGGACGATGCTTAACCGAACTTTAAAATGAGCGAAATACTTCCTATTTTCCTATCTTGTCGTATAGGAATTTAATAATGAGAAAAAATTAAATATTTGATGTTGGGACATTCGGACATAGGTGTGGCTAGAGTAAAGCTTAAAATTGCAATTGTAAACGACACTCCAATATTGAATTTAATGTGTTTGTTACTTATCTAACATAAAAATAGTTGGTGAATTCAATATTTTTTCACATCATAACCATGTCAGTATAAAACATGTGATAGATATTATAACAGATAATTGAAGTATGACACATTAATACAATACAATGCAGTGATGGATGTGCGTTTCAATATCTAATACGATGGCGATTAAGTACCAATGTAGGTGAGACGCGGTTGCTTATTACTTCACGTAAATCGTAACAAACAAAAAATTACAAGCTTAAAAAACTATCAGCAATCAAAAATTCTGATTATCTGCAAGTTCATATCTAAAATATTTGAAAATCGTAGTAAACTTAATTCAAACTTAATTTTAAATGGAGGGGTTGAAAAAAAAGAAATTATGCAAAACATCCAAAATAAATATTTTCTTAGTATATCTATAAATAATGTTTTACCCTATGAAAAATACAAGCATTGATTCAGTTACGGATAAGTACCTAGTTTATAAAATGGATCTTCAATATATAATTTTTTTTTTATAATTTCTTTAATACTATTTTTTTACATATCTTAATCTAAAATTTAATGGTTACTTATGTTATCAAATTACTTAATATGCAGGTTTATTGGTTTGGACCAGGAGCGGGAGGAATCATTGCAGGTGTAGTGTTTGATTTAATATTCAATCCACAAAAACGAAAAGCGACGATAGACGATTTGAATGGTAAGATTACACATTGTGAAATTAAAAAATATCAAATCAATATAGTACATATATTTTTATAGATGACGAAAATCTGTGTCAGATACAAGTACCACACAAAATTATTCGACCAGCTCTTTCCCCTCCAACACTATCTGCTGATTTAGATTTGCCAGAGCCTTTGTATGAAGGAAGTAGATCGCTATACACCCGTTCACCAGTTTTAACTCGTGGAAATTTAAGTCGTTCGCAATCACTGTATCATTCAAAATCTACCCATAACTTGCCACCTCGTGATTACCTGCCAAGACCGGGTCCATTATTACCAGCACAATCGTTATATCCACTGACAACGGCAGCTACTACAAAGTGCAATGATAGAACAGATAGGCCTGATAGACAAAATCAACAAAACCAACAAAGGCAATATGAACCTACTTACAGTGCTAGGAATTCATCAACAGTCAACGCTAGTGGCATCCATAATGGTTTGTAGCTTATAAAACTAATAATAAAAAAAATATTGATATCATTGCCTTTTTAAAATATTTTTAGGAATATATTCAAAAAGTAATAGGTCAGAAACATATAGGCAACCACCGAAAGATTCAGCAGATGATCTTTATGGAATTTATGGTAATTCTCAAAATAAATCACAAAATCATCATGGTAATCATTCAAGGAGTGAGTATGTTTATCGATGGACACCACCAAATTCAGTTATGCACGAATACTCATAAACGTGTCAATATGTTATTATATGTACAGTTTGCTATGTGAATACTAATTTTTTAATTGTAAATTATTTAGTATAAATATATTTATGTAAATAAATTTTATAATAGAATTAATAAACTAATATTTAGTTTACTGTATATTTATTATATTAAATTATCTACCTTAAAAACATATTTAACTAGTGGCTTTTTTTGAATTGAAAAAATACTGTGTTGGTGTATTATGATATAGAGGTTTTGAAGTTTGAAACAACTTATGTGCATACCAATGACATGCTTGGATAGGTTGATCACTATTTTTTAAATCATTTAAAATATTTTTTTCTACATCACTGATGGATGTAAACTCTTCTAAGATACTTTTTAGTTTATCTTCACTACAATGTACAAATGGACAGCATCCTTCTTCAGAAACTTGAATATTTTGCTTCTAAAATAAATAAAGTAATTAGAACTTGTTTAAATTATTGAAAAATTGATGAAATATACCTGCATTAAAACACAAGATGTCATTTGATAATTTTTTTTTGATCCTATCATACCATAAGTATGTCGGACATTGTATTCTATTTGTTTGTGATGTTCTTCCCATGAATGTGTGCATGTACTTTTTAGATTTCCACACTTGGAATATTCCTGTTGAAATAACATTAAAGTTTGTTCTAAAGGTATTCCTATATCTTTTAAAAATAATGTCAACTGATAACGTGGATTATGTGCAAGCCGATGATTTGTGAATAATGAATTTAATGACAACAACATGCAAGGAGGTAATAATATTTTGTTTAAAATAAGTTCTTCCAAAGATATCTGTTCATTAATATTTTTCCAAAAGGCTATTTTAGAATTATAATACCTATTTATTTTCTCATTAAGATATTCAATTCGTAAATTGTTATTATTTAAAGTAGATATTGAGCGACGAATTGTATGTAATGATTTAATATAAATTAGACGAAATAAATCAACTAATAAACTGTTCCATTGATTACAGAGTACAATGGCAATGCCTTGATTGAGGTGCACTTTTCGATTAGAAACTAACGTAGGGCATTTTTGCCAAGGAACTGAAAAAATTTTTTTTGATTAGTCAAATATTAAATATTTAAAAAAAAAAATTGAGTTATTAACAAACCTTCAATAGACTGTAAACTACAATCTTCATTGCATGGTACATGTTGCTTATCCTTGTATTCTGAACAGCATTTTAGTAAAATATCTATATTATCGTCAGTTACATTATAAAGTTCAATATCATCTATAATTTTGATTAAGTATTTTCTTAAATAGTTTGGTTTCAATAACTTTAAACGTTCTGAGATTAAACGACATTCTCCTTCTATGATCATCTCCTTTAATGTATTATCATCTGTTAAACTTGCATGGGTTCTGAACATATAAATGTATTATTTTAAAACAAAGACATTTTTTGGAGTTAATTCTTTAAAATGAAAACATAATAATTAATAAGTAATTATAATTTTATAGGCAAATATTTTTTTATGACTTAATATAATGTGAAAAATTAAATACTAATATATTATGACGTAACATATATTTACAGAAATATATTACCATGATATCAATGCAATTTACTTAAACTTTTTAAAGTATAAAAACTATTTAATAATAAACTATAATATAATGTATAAAAATGTATATTTAAACGTTAGTTTTTATTTAAATTATTATAAAAAATAATTTAAATTTAATTTTTAGAATTTAACTAGCTTAACTACACTAAATAGTTTAACACATTAAATGAAGAAAGTTTAATACAATCAAAGGCATATATAGGTTGCTTGTTTTCTTCAATGGATCATCAAATAGCCAAAAATTGGTAAGTATGCAGCAAGACTGTTTCTCAAATTTAGCAAATGCTTAGATTTTTTGTACTATTTAAAGAGTGTTTTGTGGCGATATTAATTAATGTTTTTAAATCAAAATTATTAAGCTAATTTTGTACTTAAAAATCTTAATTCCTTATCTTAGGTCCTTAAGTATGTTTAAAAATTCCAATAATTAGAATTTGAATAAATAAATTATTAAAGAAAAAATAAGAGTAGCTTTGTGAATTGTTCATTTGTAGTGATAAATATTATATATCTAGGTACAAAAAAAAAAATTGTTCTAGTTGCATTTGTGAATATACAGCTACTCGGATTTGATTTAAAATGAAGAAATGTCAATATATTTAATCAGAATATGATAAAGTATAGAACTATAAGTAGGTAATTACATAATAATCTGAGTATTAGAAATATTAACAACAAAAATAATAACAATAATAATAATAATAATAATAATAATAAATGTTTTTACACAATTTAGGATTTTTTTAATGTATAACCACAATCCTAGGATTCTCAAATATTGCATAATGTAGTTGGATTTTAGTAAGTACATTCTTACTAATTAATTTAGGGAAATTTCTATTAAATTATGCATTAATTATAAAATATAGCCAACTTAATTCATTAATATTACCTAAATAAAATGATTGTTATTTGAATTAGATAATCATATTATTTGTCAATTAAATTGACTAATTACAAATAGAAAGGTAAATGTTCAAAATAATACAAGTATAATTTGTATTCATGTTCATGAACAAAATTTAGCAATAAATTTTTATAAATTATAATAGTTATAGTATTGTATAATAGCAGCAATTAAAAAAATAGAAATAATCATGCATAAAAGTAAAGTATTTAAATTTTTTGTTGCTAAATATCATATATAAAAAAATTTTAAGTTTAAGTTTACAGTGGGTTTAATAGATATAAATAAGTATAAATGAAATTCATACCTAAGACACAGAAATCCAGAGTAGTCTAAAAGCGAAGAATTTTTCAAATAATTCAAGTGCTTTTGTTGGCCACTTAATTTGGAATAAGTAGCAAAATGTCCCAAACGAGATAAAGCTGAATCTTCCACATCAAATATGGATAGATTTATATCTGGTACTTGTAAATAAAACATCTTTTATTTTCATTATCTGAAAAAAATAAACCTATAACCACCGATATGTATGTATTATAATTATAATATAAACTGATAATTATATTATTATACTCAAATTACAAGTATAGTAGTAGGTACTTTATACTATCAAACAAAATCAAAAAAATGTATTATTAAATAATATTTTTATTTAACGTATTTTGTTTTACTGTTATCTGTGTTTAACGTTTATCTATACTTGAAATAATAGGTGGCGCAACGCGTACCGTTCTGTTTGAATTTGTTATCAATGTAATTTTTATCACTCCTTAAGCAGCTGATTGAATCTCGTTCGCATAGATTATGTTATTATCATGGATTTTTAAGATATAATTTATAAATTTCATCTTTGTCCGTGATTATTATTATATTTATTTTTCAGTAATATTGTTTAACAATTTATTATCTGGTATTAAATTAAATTTTAAAAATGCCTCTGGCATTTTGATACATTGGACTTGTTATGATTTTATGAGTTTATAACTTAATGCGTTATGACAACAGAAAATTTATGATTTATGACTGTCTCAATTGTGTTGGTATCTAAATTTAAATCTTGAAAGCTATGATATTATGTTATTAATTAAATATTGATAAATTATTGTAAGTATTTAACCAAAAAAAAAAAAAAAAACGATTGTGAGTGGAGTTTGGTTTATTATTGTGTTTTATTCTAAAGGAATAGTTACAGTATTCAAAAAATATTGATTATTAGACATTTGAGAATTTATTGAGTTAACTGATTATTACCAGGTACTATTGGTTAAGTATAATTGTAGGAAATAAGTTCAAATAATTTTTTATTCAAATGTTATGAAGGTATTACAATTTACTATAAAACTCAAATTAGTCAAAAGGAATAACCAGAAATTAATATTAATCATGATTCATAAAAAATTGTTTAATACATTAATATTAAATCTGAGCATATTTGTGTAAACATATACATACTACGAGTTTTTCGCAATTTAAATTATAATTATTTTGCTACCTACTTTATATTGAATTAAAATAGTACTTAGTGATATTTTGATGTTTTCGTACATTTTTTATGGATATACTAAGTCATCGAGTGGTTTGTTATCTAAAAATTATATTTTGTTGTTGTAGAAAGAGATGTATTTAGAATTTTCATCTATCGGTGCTGATTCATTTTTTAATAATTATTATAAACATAGGCGATATTAGACATTTTATAAGGGTAGGTTAAAATATTTTAAAATTACCCCTTCTGATGAAAAAATATAAGTTTTTCAAATTTATATATTTTTTAATGTTATAAAAGAACTTATCTAAATGTTATTTGTACAAATATTAATATTCTGAGCTTTTTTTTTCTCATATTATTTAATAAAATTATAAATAAGTAATTTTTTTTTTTATGATAATCATATCAACATAAATCAAACATTTTATTGAATTACAAGAAATTATACTGATTACTGATAATTATTAAATGTTACAGCCTATTTGCAGTATGAATACCTTGTCACAGCAACGAAAATACGGTTTGTAGATATTAGTCATCATCATTTTTTTTTATTACTCGGGCATTTTTATAAATATTTTTTATAAAGGAAAATAAATTGTACAAATTCCTCCATGTTCGATGTTGAGATAAATATAGACAAATAAGTGAGGTAAAAAATAAAAATACCTAAAATAATTTTTATTTATCGATTTAAATAAAATACTTTATAAACATATTTGATTTCTTATAATTTATTAATAATTACACAGATAGAAGAAGTAAATATTATGCGTCCCATATTATGTATTATTATTGAAAACAATGATAAAAATGTATAGTTATCGACGTTATTATTTCCATCACTTAATTTTGTGTAATTAACTACAAAAACGGTATTTTAGTTTTTTTTTATATAATATAGTATTATTATGTACTCTATCGACCATCTATATAATTTTTGATGCCGATGACTGGTCGACATTAAGTCAGGCACTCAGGCTATAGCTTATAGCTTGACTGATCAGACCTTTAGTTTGGCTTATGGTTATAAATGCAAATTTTTGGGGAGTTCCCCGAATGAGTTCCGAGCAAAAAAGGCCATACATTGATGTAGCCCAAGTACATCTTCGTTCATTTAGGGCCGTAGCCATTTTCCTCCAAAAAAAATAAAAATAATTCTTGACTGTTAATCTCTACTTTCTATTTTCCTCTATTAAGTAAATAGTATATAACATTATATTTTTTTATAATTATAGGACATTTCAGCAATAAATTAATACCTGTTAAAAATAAAGGAAAAATTAAACATAATAAAATTAATATTATTTTTGTAATAACATATCTAGAAATGACTCCGTTTTGCAATTTAAGAATTGCATTGTCGATTTCTCCATGACGTTTTTTTTACTCGATAGTCTTTCGAATTTTTTGGAGTATGAATAATTCTTATTTTACAATAAACATTAGTTTGAATTTGCTTTATAATATTGAGCCACATAAACATGTTTGGCTTTTCTTCATAAAAATTTTCTTTAAAATGTGAATGGAATGACTCACATGCATTGGTAGTTCGTAATAATGAAGAAGATGATTCTGCCCAAATAAGTGGTGGAAATGTAGCATTATCTGAAATGTACGTGTTTGTTAGCATACTGATTCACTTTATTATCGTTAGGTATAATGCTTATAAAATCTTCAATAAAACATTTAGAAACTTCTCGTGGAGTTAGAAATATGAGCCCAAACGTATTTCTAATCTAAGAATCAATTTCAGAATTTTTTTTCTTTATAATCTTGAACTAAACCAAGACTTTGAATTTTTCGAAATCAAGATTGTGTCAGGTGAAATCTACAGCCAACTATTAGTGTATAAGGCCATACTATAATATAGACACTACATCATAAATAGCTTGCTCAAAATCAATTGTGATTGATTTTGGATTTATTGTCAATTTTAATTCAATACATTTAAGTATAATATGGTCGAATATATCAAAATATGTGTTAGTGGATTTATTAACTAGAAGACAAAACACAACTGGTATATAATGTCCGTTTTTAAAGATATATATTGTAAATATTTAGTTGAAATGTTTGGCGCTGTATGTAAATGTACCATCTTAATAAATATTTTCAGATTCACATAAAAATTTTAAGTCTTGGTAACAAGAAAATATTAACACATTTTTATCATCATCATTAACAAGTAAAAAAATTGTTCTTCAGAAGTAGTATGAATATTTTTTCTGATTTTATCAATATCGGTATTATCAAAATTTAAACAGTGGATAGAACTTTGTCCTAATTCCTTAAGTATTATTTTTTTGGTCGTAAGAATAAATTGTCAATTGCTTTTGTTAATCTAGATTCTGATTTTGACTTATACGCTAAAAAATATTTGTAACCATCACGAATTATCAAAGGTTTTCCGCGAGAACTTTCAATAAACATCGCTTTTTCAGATGTGTTAAAAATTTAAATTTAATAAAAACACAAAACCTATAAAACATATCCAAAACTATAGGCATGTCTAGTCGGCTAGTTTTATTATGCTACTAAAAATATCGTCTTATTGATACGAGTATATATCGTATATATTCGTGTGTCTGTCTCACTTAATATGTATAATCATAATAATCAGTGACAACTGACATACAATATAATATATTATATAAGTATATAAGTATATAGCCGTATATTATATGTACAACGTACGTATCTTTATTAATTATTAGGCTTAATCAAAGTTATAATATTAAGTTATTGACTGTTATAAACTGTGAGTGCTGTCGGACACTCGGACTAGCGTTTTTTAATAGCCGATAAAAACGCGACCAGAATGTAATCATCAATCGATAAGCACAAAATATGATCTTAGCCTTACTCTATATTTTTAATACAGAACGTAACTCTACAACACAGGCTAAAATATTGAAGTAAAATAGACATAATTTTAGTCGAAAATAATGTGGAGAAAAGTGGACATTAGAGCAAAATGGTATCTCGTTTTTAGAGGAAAATGGAATCGCCCTCATTTAGAGTTATCCTGGGTGTACCATGAAGAGATGAATTGATTTACACCTCAAAAATATTTGGTTATTATTATTTTTATAATTATTTTATCACACACCCGTTTTTAAAATTTTGGGTGTTTGTACTAATATTTTAAAAAGTTTATAATTAAATTTTATATTATTTATTAATGTTAGGTTGATTTTTAGGTTAATTTTCACATAATTTAATCTAGAGTTTTTTTTATATTATCGCCCGCGAATAAAAATGTTTTTTATTGACTGATCTAATTTTTTTTTAAATGCATAATTACAAGTTTGAATTAAATAACAATTTGGGTAGTACTTAAATATGCTATCTACATTATAAATATATTGTTTTCACAGTACATAAAGTAGCTAAATTTTTTATATGAAAACATTACCAAGTTTTTATAACTGTCATTCATTAGAATAAATGATTCATTATCTGTGAATGTTAAATTTAATGAACTGTGTACGTCTTGAATATTAGTTGGTTTTTTAGGTAATATTAAATGGCTAGTATTAGTATTAATATTTAATTATTATAATACTATATATATATACATATTGTTCATACAAAATTATATAAACTTAAATAATTCAAAATGTAATAACATCATTTTGTAAATACATTCTTAGTATAAATAGATGTATTTAAAATTAATTTACATATTTTGAAACTGCCATTGTGTGTAGTAAAATTTATAATATACGTTAAAGTTAATTTTCCAAAAATAATTTTTTTATATTGTAACAAAATAATTAAAAACGTAATTTATTGTTTAAATAAGTAATTTTGATTAAATTTGAACTTCAAATGTCCTTGAAAAAAAAATGTTCTTTTTATATTTTTTTAGATTTTATAGTTTCAATATGAGAAATCTTGTATTTAATTTTCAAAATTTAGGTATAAAACAAAAAGTTTTTATCAATTTCCTATCAAAAAATCGTTGTAGATGAATTTCGTCAACATTTTAACACTTATAAAAAATCTTGTATTAATTTTTCAAATTTTAGATATAAAAT